CGAAAAAAAAGTATAGTCACAAATGACTCAACTTCCAATCAATATAAAGTATATCCACTTAAAACTTATTGTTCATTATCATAATTCATATTTTGCAATACTACCTTTTTCTCTAACTCGTTTTTTTTTTATCTAAAATTAATCAAAAAATCAAATGAAACATTAAGGGAACAAGTATTCAAAACATCAAAAGTTTCTTTTTTTAAATTTTCGTGTTTTCAAACGGTATTGATCATCAAATAAACTTTGAAGTATCGATGAAAATAAAAAGTATCATTCAAACTAACAGATGGTCAACAACGAATAATATTACGTGTGAAACCGTTACGAATCAATGTCCGCAGACACATTTACGAGCGAATATGGTGTATGTTGAGCAAACATAAATTATCATTGGTTATTGCTTATCAATTTCCTATGATGTATTCCGCCATACGCTCTTTTTCTCGCTTCACAATATTCGCTTACTTTTTTCTTTCTTTTTTTGTTTTCAATATTATTCGTTTAGAAAGACAATTGAATTGTTTTTCAATTAGAATGAATTTATATAATTCGAGTTCGATATATTTTATGACAGTATACTATCAGTAGATATTGTAATACGCATTAGCTAACATGTCGAACGCGAGAAAAAAAGGAGCAAACATAAGCGATGATTTACCTGATGTTATATGATTTATGTGAGCCAACGGAAAAAAAATCAAGATATAGTTGGCCAATGATTTTTTTTCATTACTTTTCTCTCTCTTATCATTTGTACACATACAAAATTAATCATATGAAAATCTCAAGTGCTCTCTCTTCTAACCATCATTTCTCAATATGTTCTTTTTTTGCTATAACGACAATAATAGTCTGTTAGCTTCTTTTCAAAACGGTAGTTAAAAAGTGATATTTATTGACTATCGTTTGTGTGTACACCATTTTTTTTCTCCTATTTCAACGACCAAATCAATATGGACGGTACGACATCCGCTGTAAATTATCTTCTCTCACCAACAACTAACGATTATTACGATCATCATTCGCTTCAACCTATACAATCGTTAGGTAGCATACCTTACTATCAATCAGATGCTGTCGATTACTTTTATGATCATCACAAATCTGACTTTCAGTCACCACCATCTTATATTTATCATCCTACACAACAACAACCTTATGGATATGGTTCATCTATTTATGATATTCAACCATCTCAGCCATTTATTCAAGAGTCTAATATTCTTCTTTTACAAAATCAGTCTCGATTACCACCTGTTTATGAGTTGTCTCCTCCTTGTCAGACACTACAACCTGCATCATTACAAAATACTGTACCACTACCACCAAAAGTTTTAAAACGAGAAGCACAAGATGCAACATCAACATCTGAGAAAAATCACGTATATGAATGGATGAAAGGTACGTATAAGGAAAAAACTAGACAATTCTTATAAAAATCAATAAAGTTCTAAAAGTAAATAGTTGTTTTTTTTAGGAGATCAAATTCGACGAAAACATCGACAAGTTTATACACGTACACAGACATTCGAATTAGAAAAAGAATATCGTTTTAGTCAATATCTAACGCGTAAACGTCGATCAGAAATTGCTGCTGGAATCCAATTGAGTGATCGACAAGTTAAAATTTGGTATGACAGTCACTTATAAATACAGAAAAATTTTTTTTTATTCTATGGATTCTTTTTAATCTTTCATTAGGTTTCAAAATAGAAGAATGAAAGAGAAACGAGAAAATCTTAAATTTAATAATGGAACGTCATCAACATCGAAACAACGTCATGAATATTCTTCGTAACAATATTATTGTGATATTTGTACTTTTTTTTTTTAATGTGAAATGATAATTTTTTTTCTCTACATATAAATTAATGTTAAGAATCAGAGATGATTTATATGAAAATTTAAATGCTCGAATAAAAAAACGATAGAAAAATCAAAGAGAATAATTAAATCATGAGCAAAGTTTTGTAAGAATCAATTAGAAAAAAAATTACCTTGAAGAGTTATTATGATCATTGACCTTGACATGAACACCTGGAGTCTCCGCCGATCCAAATCAATTTCATCATACTATTATAAGTACATAATATTTGATGAAACTGTTCATCTTTCAGATATGTTCTAATGAAGACTAGTAGAGTATGCCAATAATATCTGCCAGTTACTCCCAACTATTATTTATCTGTGTAGATCATCCCGAAGTACATGTGAATGCTTGTTGATTACTACGTGGCATTCGCCCGGATCCCATTAAGATTGATTGTTGTACGCATTATACATTCATAATAATTAATTTGATCATGTCCTTGCAGGTATGCATTGAGGATATTTAGTACAGTAAATTAATAACATCAATCAATTATATACAATTGTTCTTCTAATACTAGAGTAGGTCAAAGTATGCGTGAATACTGAATATTGATGCTTAATTTCAAACGTCTCGAAAATAGTGAATGATAAGACTATGAAAAATGGACTAGACAAATATAGTTCATACTAACTGCTTTTTCTGTTTGTCTTTCTTGTAATCAAGTCTTCTCTAGACTCTTCGCATGCCCATGATAAACTAGTAACAACTTCATTTGTTATATTTGTTTTATCAATCGAAGTCCGCATAGACACTAGGTTAATAACAAGTGCGAGTCCCAAAGATGGTCGTGTTGGAGTTAATAATCTATTTGCCGACTTTTTATAGTGAACCAGCAAAAGTATTAAATTCACAAAATCATGTATGATTCTGCTGCGGACAGGATAATACATGACGGTTCCTTCCTGTCATCAGAAATTCCAATTTTAGTTCCAAATGCTAGTTTTTGATACTTATATATGGTTGGATAGCCCTAGTTTTCTATTTTCGAATGCACTATCATTCATTGGTTTCATGATGAAGTCTGAAGGTTCAACAGACATTTTTCTGAAAAACTCCTAATATGAAAGATTACCATCGAACTTTAGTCAATAAAATCTTTTAAAACTTCTCTTTAGATCTGCAACACGGAAATACAAATAACAAGTGTCAGCAAATATAAGCCGAACACTCGCCCACATTCTGCGTTTAAATTTTCTTATATACCTTCGAAGGAGCAAAAACTTGATTTTAAACGTCAAAAAATGATTTTTCAGTTTTTTTCAAAATGGGTTTTCACGTTTTTTTTCATCAGTGTATCGCAGATTCCTCAATCATTGTGCATAATGTTAATTTTTCAGAACGACATATCTTTTCCCATAGGTACACCCTTAATTTTCTAGAATTTTTCAAAAAACTAATACCAGAATCAACGCCTGTATCATTAGATTTGGAGGGGGAATTTGGGACACGCATGCTGTCTATTTTTTGATCTTTGATATTACGATGACTCTTGAACAACTCAATATTTGAGACTAAAACTTTTACTGTAGGCTTGCTAGACCTAAACACACATCTCGGAAAATTTCAAGATATGTTCTGAAGAAAAAAAAAGTTTCTAACAAGGCGATCCTTTAGAAAAATTAGAGAACTTTGTTCGATCTGTGAATTATATTTATGGTGAAAAGAAAATGTATTGTTGTCAAGAAATATTTCCAATTTATTCGATATTGTTTGAAAAAAATGCAGAAGTTTTATGAAGACGATATCTGTGAAACCGTTTGTTAAGCGCATCATTATAATGTTAAGAAAAGATTCTAGGTCTCGTATTTACTTTTATTCAAAAATAAGCATAGAGATTATTAAGTTATTTAGGCTCATTTTAACTTTTCTATAATATTTACAACAGAAGATCAATTAGATAATGCCTATTTTCTCTTAATTACAAAGAGCGTACTAAAACATTGATGATCTTCACATTAAATTAAATCTGTAAATTTGATTTCAAAAACATTATAAATAACTAGAAATATTGATCCTATAGTATACTACATAAAGAGAGAGAAAACTCGTTCATGTAAAATTATCATACATTAAACCGACTTATCTCTTGACTTTATTAAAAATTGCCTTGAATGAAAGATTTTCATTTGACATCGAATCTATTTTGAATATTCTTCTTGATAAAATAAGTTGTTTCAAAGTATATATTACAGGTAAATTCGTCAACTACATCTTTTTTTTTATGTATTACTAGACAATTATCATTTGTTGATTTATTTGATAAGAAAGTGTATTTAATGAGCAAATATTTAGCTCAGTTGACCTGCAACATATATTCAAAATAATAGTTTATACATATTTGTTCGAAGTTGGTAAGAATATGTAGCAAGTAAAGTATCTGAGGGAGGCAGTGGAAGATGTCACTGAGAAAAAACTTTTTTTTTGCTTTCAATTGGACGGTGAGGGATCCATACAACTCATATGCCATCTGACAGAAGAAAACCAAGAAAGAAATATCCAGTTTTAGCAATAGCAAATATACCAAGTAGCCGCAAAATGTACAGAACATCTGCTGCTTCTGATATACATAGTACAATTTATTGAAGACATTTATATTTTGATTCTAGAATTTTAAAAGCTGCATGTTGTATTAAATCAGAGATTATATTTATGTGATAGTTGCAATATCATATAAATTTAATCCTTTATTTATGTTTTATTATATAAATTCATGTTTGGTTTCTTCTCTTATGTTCTGGTCAACGTATTAGTTGCTGATATTGCACGTGTATCTACCACTTAATAATTTTCTTACGAGGGAACATCGCCAACTGTCCAATCGCTTTTTTAATAAAACCTACTGGGTTCTAGGTTATCGACTATGCTGATTCCGAATATGGGTACGAAAAATGCCCTTAGGCCTTTATAGAGTGGTTTTCTAGAAAACCAGATCTCCAGAAAACTAATTTAAACTAAATTTTTGTTTTTGACCTACTCAGATTATAGAGCACATTGAGTTGTCTATAAATCAATAGTTTTTTCTGTTTTGCAAGGATAGTCTTGAATAAACAACATTAAACTTTCCTATTTGTACAGTGAAATGCTAGTAATATGCATCTACTGTATGAATTCAATTGGCTGTATTTCATCGTAANGAAAATGAAAAAACAGAAAAAAATCCAACACTAAATTGACCAATTGATTCAACATTTGTATTTCCTTCAGCCATAGCTGCAACACGTTTCCAATCAGTTTCATTAAAAATAAGACCATTATTTATTGTACGAATTTCTGCAATCGTTTTATTATGAAAATCTTTTTCAGATGATGATGATGATGATGGTGGGTCATTATCACAGCTGATTTCAAAATGAAATGATGTTGCTTTAGCATCGTCGGAATTTTGAATTAATTCACGACAAACAACAAAATCTGATGAATAACGTGCAAGCATTTTATTAATTAACATTCGTTTGATTAATTTCAACACTACTTTCAAAACCCAATTGTAAAGCTTTTAAACGAAGATCATCAGATGATGCCGATTCATGTAAGAAATTCTTTGACATTGAATCTAGAAGAAAAATATAAGTCAAATATTTAGAATCTTTCTTTCATCCAAAATGAAAGCAATTCAAGTTTGTGTGCTGCTTATATACTAAGATACAATATAAGTTAATAATAGAATTAGAGTTTTAAACAAATGATTATGAAATTAGTATAATAAAATGGTCGAAAGTATGGAACCGTCGATCAACACCAAGAATCATGTAATAGTAAGAGATACATAAGCATAAATGAAAAAATTCTCAATTATATCCTTTTTCTTAAATATACTATCTAAAATGTCAAGGTGTTCTTCAAATCATAATTTCTTTTCTTGTTATATGTAGTTATTTTGACAAATGACAAGAATATTTGTGCTATAATCGTTAAGACTTATGTTGCATTTGAACTCGAATGTCATTATTTATATATTGCGGGATACATTGATTGATAATAGACTAAAATTGATAAAGATAAACAAGAATCTTTCAAACATTCCTTTCCTTACTGAACATCGACTTCTTAAAATAATAAGTTGTTGTTCATTAGTAATTCTTTTTAATCTTCTTGCTACATCTACATCTGGTACTAATGAATTAAAAGATCGAAAAGATTTATTAACGATCTGCTTTGATTTTCTTTTAAAAAAATCGAGATACAAAAAACTATCTTGAGGATGAAATGTTTTTATTTCATGTTAGAATGTCCCCTATGGCACCTTTACCGGCGTTACCACCTTTGCCGTCGTTACCGCCTTTGCCGTCGTTACCATCTTTACCAGTGTTATCATTTTGACATGTTTCAACATCATTAAGAGAAGTCTTGATGAAATCATTTAACACGTTGATTAAATTTTCAGCATTGAATACCATTCTAAAATATTTGGAAAAAAAATTTATTAAACCAAAAAAATATTGTTTAGATTACCCGTCATTAACAAAAGTAGCTATTGATAAAAACGTATTGTATTGTTTTCCATTGATCTAATAAAATAAAACAGTTTTGCCAATTAAATTTTAATATTAAAACATTTCACCGTTAAAGTTATATAATAATATCTTTGATCTAACGCATATTTTGCCTCAATATTGATGTTATCTTTTCGATAATTAACTGTTAAGTGTACAGTCATACGTTCATTCAACGGCAACACCTCATTCTCCTAGAAATTAAACAAGTAAAAAAGAAAAAGACATATACAGAAATTCTTACGTCGACTGGAACATCGTCGACGACGAAACCTTCTTTTATAAGACAGTAGTGAGTTGAAACCATCATTGGATCATATTCTACAGGAAATACACGCTTGTGGAGACTTAACATAGCTCGTAAAAATTTTTGATCCGACATGATCGATAACAGATATTTTTCAATTAAAATTTAAGTCTAAAAATAAAAAAGAGATTTATTTTTAAAGAGTTTGTGGTAAGCGTGAGCTGAGATGAGGATATGTGAGCATCTTTAATAAGAATAGTTGGAATAAGTGAACAATATCATTTAGATTCAATACTCATCTCACACCATCTTCATTTGAATATGTTAATAATAGCTGATCATTGTTATCAGATAATAATATGGTAATGGTAAGAAGACTAGAAAAAAAAGCAAAAGGTAAAGTCTTACCTATAGAAAAATTGATTTGTTTTAATTTAAGGCTTCTCGAACATTTAATATTTTACCTTTTAATGGATAAACATCATAACGATCACGACCAATAACACCAAGACCAGCCACATTTGCATTCATCTAATTTTGATGTACCGTTTCATTTTGATGCCTTTGGCCCATTTTGTTTTTGTAATTTAGCACCTTGTGGATGTTCAAGCCAATTAATAAATAATTGAACAATTCAGATTTTTTTTATAATACCTTTAAAAAAAATTTTTTATCATCTTTTAATGGAAATGTTGAACAAAAATGTTTACCTTCAGTTGCTAATTTGTTTTGTTTAGCTTGTGATTCAAATTCCGCATATTCAATTAAACAACTAACACATATAAAAAAATGATTTTCAACTTGCATTGGTTTAAGATTTTCAGCAGCAGCAGCTTTACTTTTCTTTTTTATATGTTCAACAAGTTTTGGACATATTTGTTCAGTTATATAATCAATATGTTTATCATGTTCTGATGTTAAAATTGAATTAACAAAGTTGGTTTGTTGAAAATCATTATTATAATCATTTTTGGCAACACCAATATCCCAACAATCATTGACTTTATTTTTATAAACAATTTCTTTTTTTGTTGTTTCAATATACATCAACATATATCATCTGTTTACAAAAAAGAAACAAAAAAACATTTTTTGAAATTGAATAAAAAAAATCTTATGGGAATACATTTACCATTAGGTGTTACGTTACAACCAGCTGACATAACTACATTATAAGCACATCGTTTAAATAATGAAACAAGATCATCATCATCGAATTTATCCATTTGAAATCGGTTTAAGTCCGATGTAAATATAATACAAGTAAATTCTTTTGGATTATGACATGTTTTATTGATAATTGTATCTTGTGAATGACACTTATTGTTTGACCAAATCTAAATAAATTTGTGTTCTTTTAATAAACAATAGATAGACAGAGAAAACGTACTTGTTTAAATGATTTTTTTAAATATCCTTTTGAAGATGTTTCAACGATAAGTTTTGTACTAAAAAATATTTGTTACTTTTGCATCATAACCATTTCGATCATCTATTGTAATGAATAAAAATGGAAACAAGAATCATTCAATGACTTTGAAATCGTACTGATTATTCGTTTTTTGATTATCATTGAAATTATCTAATGGGAGAAGTTTACCAAAAATGAATATTGGAATATAGATTGATTCATCTTGAATCCACTTATGAACACGTATACCATAACCATCATTACAAATTTTTATTTCACCTTTTAATCTAAAAATGATATTTTATACAATAGAGTTTAGTTTTGTTTGAAGAAAAATACTTGCTGATTGATATCTACTTCGATGGATGTTATTGTTGAATGACATTATTTATTATCAGTAACATTTACTAAATGGAACAGAGAAAATGAAAATGTGATAGTTTTGAATAATATAGATTGTTTTACCAAGAATTTCATCAAAGATTTTATCAAGATGAGATACATAAGCACTTTTATTTTTGATAATTTTCGGTCCTTCTTCAGCTTTTTTTATCAAGAATTCCCATTTCCTATAAAGAGTAAATGTAAAAGAAATTTGAAGAAATAAGAATCATACTTCGTGACATGGCTTATTTGAATCGATATATGTTTCAGATCGTTTAAGAATCTGATCAAGTTGTTCGAGAAGTTAATTGGTTTCTTCATCTTTATTTAGTGCATCGCTGATGGAATTATTCATTGAAGACGACATGATGAAAACAACGTCTTCAATAAAAATGGCGTTTACAAACAAGTATAACGATAGATACTTGTTTGTTGTTGCACCAACTCTAAAAACGAATAATAGTTAGATGTGAAACGAATTTTGTCTATTCTTCTCTGTTTAAATAGTGATGTGACACAGTGTTTCAATCTATATTTTATTCTCTCTTTTCTCTGTCCGAATAAGTCTTTGTAGTCTATTATAGTATAATCACATAACACGTACCTCCCCAGGTCAATCTCCCTCGGTCATATACGGCCGTGCACCAACCATATACGGCGGATAACGGCGACTGTTCGTGTTAGCCATTTACGGCAATCGTGAACGATGCTTTACNAAGATTTGACAAAGTCATTTAATATATGACAAAATTCTTGTTCACATGTCAACACTTCAAACAGACCTGAAATTAAATAATAAAAAAACGTTGGAGAATATATCATCACAAACTAGACTAAGTTCTTAATATTAACAACCTACCGGATTTTTTTGATTTTTGATTTTTGATTGATTGGATCATTACTTTGAGTACTAATTTCTTTTCTTTACTTCGTTCAACAAAATAATTAGGAGTACCACCATCATTGATCTTTTTGTAATAAACTTTTTCCCCAATGTATGGAACAGTGACATTTTTCGTTTATATACAGGCATCAAAGCTGTACTCAAAGTATGATTTGATAGAGATACCTAGCGAGTTCTATCTATTATGACGAGAGACAGTTGTGCTTCGATGAAAGTTTTCTAGAAAAAACCTCCTTTCCAATGTACAACTACTGACGTTCGACTACTGTGTGTCTAAAAACTATCAAAAAAAAGGATGCTTTTTAAGCTCTGTAGAGTTTATACTTGAGCACTATCGCTTCATTCTTTCTTCTTATCAGTGTTCTAGTATGATTCTATTACATTTAAATATTTCATTGACATTCTTTTTGATTCTCGTTATATGCATTGAATATCCATATGTTCTTGTATGCGTAGTATTCTAGTTTGAGACCTATCATATATTGAAATGCTTCTAATAAAAATCGTACAATAGAAGGCAGAGCCCATTAGATGCTAACGTGAGACTAGTTTGACTTATAGATGGATAAACTTTTTACCAATTGCAATAAGAAATATGTTTCCGTTGAATACAGACAGTTCGTGCACTAAAGATAACCCCGCCGCAAATGGGTTAATGAATTTATTTGTTCTTCAATTGACGTTTCTTTTCTAAATTCTGAAAAATTTCTTCAAAAGAAAAAAGAAAAAACTTTTTTAAAAATCATGAGAAATATATAAATCCATACTCATTGTAGATGATTAATAATTGATCCGATTTAATATTAAATCGGATTTATTAATTAATTAATCAAGCAAGCAAGCAAAAAGTAATATTTTTCATCAATGGTTTCAACAAATCAATCGTTCATGTCAAGAAAAAAAAAGAAACTCTTCATCAAATAATAAATCAGATAACAAATCAACTTTTTATTCAATTTAATTTTATAGATTTGTCATACAAAGATAAAAATTCTGAAGAGTTTTATCTATTAATGATTATTTTTCGATGTATTCTTGAGTTTGTTTTTAAAATTGTATGAAAAATTATAATTAAAACAAGATGATAAAATTCATCAAATATGAATGATAATCAAGTCACACGATATCCAATAATCTACGATTAGAAAATAGATATTTTATTCTTTGAATAATCAAAGGAGAGAATAGAATAAAAAAAGGCCTGTTTTTTTTTTGTTGAACATGTAGTAATTAAGGAAACTTTAATCTCTTTATCTTTTTTTGTCTACAAAAATTAAGATAGATACAGATTTGGTCCAAGTAGAACGAAAACTATACAAAATATTTGGTCTGTTGATCTAGATAAAAATTTGAAATTTTTAAGTTTTTCTAAGTGATCTACACATTGATTAGTAATAAAAGAAATATATCTTATTACTTATGAGGTTGAAAATCAAATTTGTAATCATTTAACTTATTCGAATCTTTAAGTTCATACAAATTGAAGAACATTTTGTTCGATTTCTCTCTTATTTTTGTGTACTCAAAAAGTTAGTACACTATAGAATTGGTCAGTGTTGTCCGTCCGGTCGGCCATTTACACGATAACTTTTGAAAGAAGATTCCGATCGCAATGAAATTTTCTACACAGTTTAGTCTCAACAATATCTCGGTCGAGTTCGAGGATGAGGATGATTTTCCGAACCATTGCTGAGTTATTGCAAAAATAGTCATTATTCCCTATGCTTTCCTATACGGATATCGACCTTTCCCTGTTTTCGTAAAAAAATTTTCCTATCATAGTCAAATAAAACCCCAACTATTATATGCCAATCGATAGAGAATTTCACGAGCTACAAAATGGTATGTAAAACATAAAGAAACAAGAAGACTAAGTCACCTATTGCAAAGATAATTAAACGGAAATTGGTTCTGTTTTTGTCCACGCTCTGATTGATCCCCAATTCGAGTTCTATCTTTCGATTACCGAGATGGTACTTCAAGGTTTTCTGGTCTATCATTGATGGTAATACGTTAACAGAATATTTTCTTAATAAATTACCAAGATTGAACAAATTTACATAAATATATTGGTTCAATGATTCAACATGCTAATCAGTTTATAATACCTTCAAATGAAGATTATAAAAATACATTCAAAAATTTTAATAATTTAATGGTTTCAAATGTTTATCATTTTTCAAAAATGAAATTCTTTTATTCTCATATCTATTCATATCCATATAGATGGACATGTTATCAATATATTAAAAATGATTTCCCTGGTGGATTATTCAAATGTGTTCATACAATCTCATTATGTGATGAATGTCCATTTGAACATGATTTTTTTCTTCGAATTTTGAAATCATTTCCATTTATTAAAAAATTAAGTTTATATAATTATGAACCACAAAAAAATAATTATCTTCAATGGCCAATAATTAAATATCATCATCTTATTGAAATCGAACTTGTTAAAACTCATGATGATTATGTTGATGAATTTTTAAATAATACAAAGATGTGTTTATTAAATAATGTCCATCTTCGTGTGCATTACGATTCATTAGAAAAGACAACAAATAATTTTACAAGAGATGCAACAAGAATTAATTGTTCAAAGATCACTACTCTTACATTATAAGGCAAAATAAAAATTCTGATGAAAACTTAAAACAATATTTTCCTCAAGCTCAAATTTATTTATAATTCTGATATATTATTTTCATAAAACTTTTAAAAAAAGAAAATAAATTTTTATTTTTTCTTTGAAAAAAAATCTAATAAAAATATTCGTCAAAAAGATCACAAAGAATAATGTATGACTTATGTAAACAAGGAGAAAAACTTCTGTGAAAAAAAAAAAAGAAAAACTTCTCTGAGAATTATCATTCAATTTTATATTCATACAACAGGTATTTTTCGATTAATTGATGGTTTTCTATTGAACTTGTCTAACAATAGAATAAAAATGTCCATTAATAACAATTGGATAAATTCAGAGATGAGCAAGTCAAGTCATTTTTGACTTGCTTGACTTGACTTGAAAATTATTTTTTAATGACTTGCGACTTGACTTTGACTTGTCAACGAAAATTTTTTTTGTGACTCACGACTTGACGTGACTTCACTTTGATTTTTCATTTTTTGACTTGACTTGACTTGTGACTGGACAAAAAATACAAGTCAAGTCAGATATTCTTTGCAACTTCGATGCATATTATATTCTCGTCAGGTTATATTTGACCTGTGCGTATAAAATAAGGTCCCAAACAGACTAGTCTGTTTGATCTTACAAAAGATACTGTCTGACATCGACATTCACAAGTATATAAGCAATTATACGGCTGAGTGTGCATCATACGTGACCTATTGTATTAAACTGGTTAGGTCAATTACAACTTGTATTACAACTGAATATGAGGGATTTAATTTCACAAGTTGACAGTCATCTTTCACATGATTTTCCAGATCTGTGTGTATTATCAACTGTTCCAGTACTTTCCTGTACATTAGCTGATTCAACTGAAACAGCATGACGAACTACTGATAGTATTCCAAAAACAATACGAGATAAGTTCTATGTAAATATAAAAACTTATGAATCAAATTGCTCGGGTCAATGTATCAGGGACTTATGTAAAATTTTTTTCAATAAATTGATACATAACTAAATTATGAAATTTAAAAAAAATTCAAGTCAATGACTTGGGACTTGACTTGACTTGGTTAGAACACAGACTTGACTTGACTTGACTTGACTTGACTTGAAAATATTTTTTTTTCGAGCAATGACTTGACTTGACTTGAGTGAAAAAATAGCTGACTTGCCAATCTCTGGATAAATTCAATGTGAATCACATTGAATAAGTGAATCAATTTTTGGAATTGTCATACTATCTTAATATATATATATACATACTAATAGAAGATTTTCATTTATATGATTAGAATGTATTGCTTCACCAACTTTTAAAGTAAAACGAAAAGTTTCATAATTTTGTAAATAGAAAAACAAAAATGTATTATTTCTTGTTTTAATTTCTCATCATTATCTAAATATGAATAACCACTTAATTATTTCGTAAATTCTTTCACCCAATGCATCTCTTATCCATTTTCCTATTAATACTAAATAAACTATCAAGGAAACAATATAAGATAAACTATCAATAATTTCACTCATAATAATAACAACAAGAGAAGCAGTCATTCGACGAATCCTACCTAAAAATACACATGCATCAACAATAGCATAAAGTCTAGTTCTAACAAAATATTCATTTGTGTAACTACATTCGCGTCTTAACACATTGGGCACCATGTGGCCCACTGGTGAGCTACGCTATATCTTAATGAGAAACTATGTAGAAAAGCATTTTCTTTTGATTTTTTCTTATACAAGAGGTTAAACATAATGTATCATCTATTATGCCTTCAGTATTTTTTTGAGTCCTTTATCGCATAGCAAGACGCTTCTTAATATAATAAAAAAAATTATCACAGTCATTATACAGAAGCTTTCACTTTCTTTGTTGCTGCATAGCTCCCTTGTCTTGACTATTGTGCACTTTTCTTTGCACAGCAGCCAGTGCAACATCTGCCAACATTGTGCCTACATCCTTCCTTTTGTTCGCGCTTGTGATTAGCGAGATGGCGCTTAAAATGATTTGCGGGATTTTCGCGAAATTTGAGAATGATCACGTCCTTTGCAGCGTAATTTTCCTTGTATATCAAATACCTATTTTCTATTATCGACCCAAAAATCATTTCAAATGCTACTTTTAAATCTTTGTAGTCCGTGTCATCGAAAGCGGCACAGAATTGCTCATTGTATCGTGATATGTTAGGCTGATTCATCGTGAAATTATACCGTAATAAATCGTAAAAATTGGCGATTTTTATTTATTTTCGTATAAAAAATCGCCATTTACGCTAAATTTTGACGATAGAATTACCAAATACTAGCGATTAATTGACTATTTTCTTAAAAATCGTGGAAAATCGTCAAAAGTGAAGTGATTTTGAGGACATGGGAGTTCTTCAGAGACTTAGAAATTCTTCTCTCTAAAAAAAGAATAGCGAAATAGCACAGCATCTTTCATGACAATAACAGAATCAACTTTCCAGTGTGTTCGACCCCTAAATGTCGAATAAAAAGAAAAAAAAATTATTCCATCGGTTATTCATCCATTGACGGTCAATTTAGACCACACAAACATATCCTCATCGTTTTCATTGACGACATCGGTCAGATAGAACAGATGAGTATATATATATATTCATAAGAAAAACGAAAACAAAAAAAAATAAAAACAAGCATAAATATGGAGCATTCATGTGTTCAACTGGAAGATTTACCAGATGAAATTCTTCTGATTATTTTTCAAAATTTACCCAATTGTGATGTACTTTATTCTTTCATGGGTCTTAATGAAAGACTTGATACAATTCTAAATGATAGAATTTTTACAAGAAATTTAACACTAATAAAATCTGTTCATAGTTCATCAAATCAATTTACTGATACAATATTTGATCGATTTTGTTTTGAAATTTTACCAAAAATCAATCATAAAATCGAACGACTTAATATTGAATCATCATTCATGGAACGTATTTTTGCAACAAGTTATCCTAATTTACATGCACTTAGTTTATATAATTTTCCACCAGAAACAGCGTGTGAAGTCTTTTGTGGTAAGATATTTTTCTTCTATACTATTTCAATGATTAATTATATAAGCAAATTTATTTCAAAAATATTTTTTAAATAATCAAAATTGATTATTACACGCATAGTTTTATCTTTAATATTAATTGATGAAAATTCAAAATATAGGGACGTCAATTAAAAGAAAATATAAATATTGTTTTGTAATACCTTCCATTAAGATTCGTTCATTCTAAAAATAGAAAGTCTCTACTATGAAATTGAAAATTAAGATAAGAAAACATAGTATGTACAATACATTACACTTTATTAAATAATTTAATTCATGATCATTGAACAATTGATTTTTATCGATAAGAAAAAGAGAATCGAATGTTTTGAAGTTAATAAAAAGAAATAATTTAATAGAAATTTTCAATTTTTGTTTAGAGGAAAACTATTCAATTTATCAACTTCAAAATCAAATTTCATCACTTTTTATTAAGTTGAAACCACATGAACAACTAATTGATGCATTTGGATCTACACAAAATAGAAATATATTTATTTTTATTAGAATCTGTCTTCTCTTCAAGAATTTACAATATTTAAATTTCAGTTCATCTTCTATTTATGAACAATTAGTATTTTCTAATAGCATTCCAATGAATTTCTCTTCAAATTTATTTGAACTACATGTTGTAGTTAAAAGTATCTCAGATTGTCTCTGTGTACTTGACGGTCAGTTCGAGTTGTTGCATACATTTCATGTTACGATTCGGTCTTATGGTATTTACGATGAAGAAATAGTTGGTAACCATGTAAGTTACTCATATTAATCTCTTTATTTATTTTTCTTTCGTGTATTTAGAAGAAACTACCTAATTTAAAATGCTTTTCGCTGATCCATGAAAATGAAATATCCGTGTACAATCTTATATTGGTACCACTTTTCCAAAGAATGACAAATTTAGAAGAACTTCATTTGTACTTTGTTAATACATATGGATCAATTATTGATGGTAATAATTTGGAAAATAATATCATTAATCATATGACGAAATTAAAGAAATTTACATTTAATATTCGTTCAGTTATTTATCTTGATAATCAATTTAATTTACCATCAAATGAAGATATTAAAAAGACATTTAAAAATTTTGACAATAATCAAACTACTTCATATGTCGATTATTTTAAAAAATTAAATTTATTTTATTGTCAAATTTATTCAAATCCATATAGATGGACATTTTATAATAATATAACAAATAATTTTCCTGGTGGATTATTCAAGTGTGTTCGTGAAATATCATTACATGATGAACATCCATTTGAACATGATTTTTTTCTTCGAATTTCGAAATCATTTCCATTTATTAAAAAATTAAGCTTACATAATTATGAACCACAAAAAAATAATTATCTTCAATGGCCAATAATTAAATATCATCATCTTATTGAAATTGATCTTGCTAAAGCTCATGATGATTATGTTGAACAATTTTTAAATAATACAAAGATGTGTTTATTAAATAATGTACATCTTCGTGTACGTTTCGATTCATTAGTAAAGACAACGAACAATTTTACAAGAGATGTAACACGCATTAATTGTACGAAAATCAATCTTAAAATACGTAGCTTTACAGTAGAACTTTCAAGATTAAAAGAATATTTTCCTCATGCAAAAATCTATTGATTATTTTGAAATAAAATTTGAAATAGAAAGAAAATAATGCTTGATATTTTATAGACAATAGATAAAATTAAAATATTTGTCAAAGATTAGATATAATAAGATATAAATATTCCCGTAATCTAGTCAGTAATTTTCTTGATATTTTTGGTTTTTGAACATCTAAAGATTAATTAATATAGAAATATTTATCGGAATAATTACAATTTGATTGATATTTTGTAAATGTTCGCTTATCCCATGGGATCCCGGCTTTTTTTTTGCGAAAAACCAAATTTTTATAAGAAATGTTTAAGTATGACTTTTATTTATTTTTTTGAAAGAAATCGCATTTGTATGTCAAAGAAGCACTAGTAGTTCGTTGTTGTATGATAGTTTTTTAAAGCAATCAACAATACATAGGGTCACATTACAGTCAACACACATGTACTGTGTATCACATTGAACATTATGGAGTGCGCAAACCACGTATTCTCTTAGAGACTGTTTTGATTGCGATATTTGTGGAATAAGCAAAGGAAAAACATGACATCATGTCCAAGGTAAAAGAAAGATCTATATGACAACAACAAAGAGAGAAAAGATATACAGATATTGGAAGGTAGGATAAACTATGACTTTTAGGACTGTACAGGTCATAACACTCTACATAAGATAATAAAGAAAAGGAGTTTTCCCATCCTGGAAAATGCCAAAATGATAATAAGCTAAGAGGGAACAATCATTTTACCACCATCCAATACTTTTTTCTTGTTTCTCTAATAGATAGATGAATGGATGACAATACATAGTTATATACGGATAATTTCAAGTAAATGGCACTTTTGCCAACTTACTACCGAAAAAGAATTAATAGTATAGTTTTTAAAGATATTGAATATCAAGAGAAAAAATTAGCTTGTAACTACTTCGCAATTAAAATTATGATCCACAATTTTAGAGAGAATATTCAGGATGTTTTATAATTAGGATCTAAAATATACAATTTGAAAATATAATCACTAAAATAAAGCTAATACGAAACGCAAGAATTAATTGAAATTGATCTTCATATCATTTCTCGAATTGCATAGCATTGTGACATAATAATCATTAATATTAGGAATACAGTGTTTGTGGGGTACGTACCAGAGACCGTCACAGGGCACTTTTTTCGGCCCTGCCCTGCCCTGTTGCCCTGTGTACCGATCACTAATGGCCCCGACTGGGTTGATACGTAATGACAAACTGAATAGAGGTAGAGTAGCTTACCGCCACTCTCGGCAATGATGTTTATTCGCTTCTTCACATATCCAGAGTGTAACAACTTCATACATAAAACGCATATATATAGGAGAGAGATAGAAGAGAGACAGGAGAGAGATATATTAGAACAACGGCAAGAGAACAGACAGAGAAGGAAGGAGAATCATCGATCCGTGTCATCAATATCAGCACAGACAGGAGAGAGATATATTAGAACAACGGAAAGAGAACAGACAGAGAAGAAAGGAGGATCATCGAGCCGTGTCATCAATATCGGCACAAATACGATGCATTTATTTGTACTCTTTTTCTTTTCGCTAAAAAAAATCAGCTAAGTAGTGAAGTCGATGGTGATGAAAAGACAAATTCGATGGAAAGTTTTATTTATGCAATTATCTCGGAACTTCTCCGCTAAAACTTAATGTGTTAACATTTTGAAAAATTATCCGCAGTTTGAACTTCTGTTTACAAGTAATTATGACTTCTTATTTCGGGTTTTAAATGTAAAGCACTTCGCTTCGAAGCTCAAAGTAGTTTTCAAAAAATCTCGAGTTTGGATCATTTCTATTCTTTAATATGTGGTATATGATGAGATCAATATCCTTCTCCATACAAGCAGCTTTTCTCCTTAAAGATAATTATACTCTAATGCTTTGTTTGATAATAGTAGCAATATTATGTCTTAAATTTTAATCAATCTGAAGACTGAAGTGAAAGTTTTTAAAATAATTTTCACCTTACTCTTTACCTCAGATCAAAAATAGGTGTAGATCAATTGACAATTTTTTACTTTGTCCATCATGCTGCTGTTTTCAAAAAGTTTTAGTGTCCGACTTTCGTTATTTTGATTTCTCAATCTTTTACTTACTTTTTGCACATCAACTAATGGCCGCAACGTTTCACTCGGGTCATTCCATAATGTTTGATTAAATGATAAATTATTAAATGCTATCAGTGTCATGTCTAATTGCCTCTTCTCTTGATTGAATCTTTCCACATTACTCGACGGACTTAATGTCTGGTTCTGATGTTTCAATGATGATATACTCCTCTTTTGATGGCTCATTGATAGATTGATCCGTTGTACTTGTACAAACGGATTTTCGTTGTTTCGATGCGTGGTGATACTTTTTTTTTCTATTAAATACGGCTTTATTATTATGTAGATTGATACTTTTCATTAGATACATACCCGAATTAGATATCTACTAATAGGAGTCACTCTTGGTTTGTGTTTTCTCAATGCCATGATACAAAATGTTTAACTCCGTCTGTCTTTCACTACGAATAAAGTTCAAAGGAGTGTTTGCAAAATATCCCAGGCCAATCTCCCTCGGTCATATAAGGCCGTGCACCAACCATATACGGCGGATAACGGCGACTGTTCGCGTTAGCCATTTACGGCAATCGTGAACGATGCTTTACGATGTATTACAGTCATCGTAAACAATGGCCGCAAAAAGTTGCCGTTAACGACTACCGTAACAATACGCTGACCGTATACGCTATTCGGGAAACATCGTAAAGCTTCGTATACGTCAGCTGTTTGCGGTAGCCGTATCCAGTAATCGTAAACAACCGTTTTCCTAGTGTTACGCCCATCACAAACGACCAGCGTAAAAACCCACCGTTTACGGCCGCCGATAAATTACACCGGCTCTAAGCGAAAATCCAGCCATTTCAAATGGCCAATCAGATTTTAACATGATATTTCTCAGCTATACAAAAGCTGGACACCAACACATATAAGCCTCATTCAAAACAGCGTCCTCAATAACCTCAGGATCGGCCCGAACATCACTATGTGTTGCCCGTCTAACACGAGAGATAGGCCCTCCTGAAATCTGATTGGTCCATTTTTCGACCAACCATATGGCGAGATTCTATTTCTCAGTGAAGGCAAGGAGACGACCCATACATATACCCCTCATTCGATAGAGCGTCCTCGATAACCCCAGGATCGGCCCGAACATGACTATGTGTTACCCGTCGAATAAGAGAGATAGACCCTCCTGAAATCTGATTGGTCCATTTTTCGACCAATCAGGTTTGAGATAAAGTCACTATTCATTCACCGATTTGTTCTGTCCCACAGATGTGTATATATGTCTCGATAATTCGTTGAGGCCATTATCACATCATCAACTTTGCCGTTACGTAAGTACTTCCCATAATCCTTAGGGTCCTCGAGTCTTATTTTCAAAAAAAATTTTTTTTCGAAAAAATTTTTTTTTTTGCAGAAATAGACTTTTTGAGAAAAAATAATTTTTTTTCAAAACACCCAAAATTTTTTTGTAAAAAATTTTTTTTTTCGAAAATAGGTCTTGAGGAACCCTAGCAGGACCCTCCCAGAACGAGCATTACAGCGGCCAGAAACGGCCGTAAATCCGCCGTATTTCCATGTACCGTATTACGGCCGTATATCGTCGTGTCGTATACGGCGAAATACGGCCGTATACAGCTACCGTATACGGCCGTATTTCGCCGTATACGACACGGCGATATACGGCCGTAATACGGTACATGGAAATACGGCGGATTTACGGCCGTTTACGGTCGTAAAATCGCCGTATACGACCGTTTACGACACCGTAAACGGCCGTATACGGCCGTTTCTGGTCGCTGTAATGCTCGTTCTGGGTCGATTTGTCTATTCTTTTCTATTCTTTGTTAAAACATGTATCATTAATATCATCATCTCGTCTATTCTGTATTTGCTTTTGATTGACCTAGTTTTTTTTTCTTTTCTTTGTACTTATTATCCATTAGATATCGTTTCCTGGATTTATTGTCGTAAATAATATCAACAATGCACACTTTGTTTACATATAAAATTTAAAAAAAAATGATTATTAATTATTGATTAAACTAAATGATTTTAATCTGACATAGAATGAATTCTTCATTAAGAACATTATATTTTATATTTAGGGCATACAAACAGTAGTGCCATCGTTATCTCATTTCCGTATAGAAAGCTTGAAGAAATTTCGTTTTTTTATGTAGTGATAGAGAAAACAAATCTCTATTTTTTTCTGGTATTTGATCAATCTTCACTTAATATCAAAATAAAAAGAAAACAGTTTGATAAGAATTGTTTTTGTGTAAAACTAGCTGATACCATTAGATCATAATGGATGGGGCATATTAAATGATCGCATTTTGTATTTCAGTTTTCAAACGTTTAATATATTGTATGAAAAAAACACAAAATATACTAAAAGACGCAGCATAGAAAGCTCGACACTTTACATAAGATAATTTTCTTTTTTTTTCTTCCAAGATTGCTCCATATGAATAAAAAAGGTTCGTCCATAAAATCTATTTTGAACAGGTTAAAAATACTTCTACAATTTCTCTTTATCTTCCAATAACAACTATTTAGTTAAAAAAAATCATGAAAGAAATCATCTCATGTACTTTTATAATTTCTCCTCTGCTCTCTTACCAATTATGAAGTAATAAATAACTAATATTTCGTCTAATTTTTCATTTTTTACGCCATGCTCCAGATGAATTATGAAGGGTTTTTTTTACAAATGAATTACAAGTAGTAATAAATGTAAGATGTAACCATCACATATCGAGTTCGGTTCCACAAGGAGTAAAGTCAGTTTTCTTATCCTCATTCTTTCCGATAGAAGAACAATCAGCTTTGATCAAGGATTAAAAAAAATAATTTGTTTAGGTATTTCCGAATTACAATGGTATAACTTATATTTAAACATTATTTACTATTTAATGTCATTTGTGTACTAGATTTGTTCAATAGATTGTGTTGCTAAAATTCCCACACTTTCTCGTGGATCAATATATGATTTAAGTCATTTAAAATACATCATTTTTTTCAAATGCTCGTTTATCCATTTTCGTTTGATCTAATTTTTCATTTGTAGTTATATAATTTCTAATTAAATCATCAAAATTTTCTGTAATAACACCTAAATTTGATGCTGCTAAATAATTTTGTGTAACAGATGAATAAAATTTGACAAGACTATGATTATATTATTCATGTTTATCATCCGATAAATCTCTCTCGATGTTTGAATCATAATTGAAGGTGCTTCATCAATATCTTTACTTTTTAATGAATTTCTTAATGTATGTAAATCAAAAAAAAACATGAATAATTTATAAATGGTGTCATACGAATTTTTAATCTTGTTCAATCATCGAAATTTTCATCATCAGCTAATTCTCGAGTTTTTTTTTCTTCATGCATGAATTTTTTTAAAAGTTTTTATTATTGATCTTTTTTTTTGTTGAACCACACATATCAATAATATGTGAATATTCATCTTGATGTAATATTGTTAATTGATTAGCAACAAGAAATTGATAATAAGCTTCTTTTAAATAAGTACATTATTCAACAGCTAAACTATATTCATCATATTGAAATTGAATAACATTTCCATCACTATCACGTACTTTTAAATCATAATTAACAACTCTCATCCAGCTATACAATGAAAGAAATTTTCTTGTGGTCGAATTCCACTTAAAAAACTTCTATCAACAAAACCACCTAATCATGATGAATATTTATATAGATGAAATGATAGAAGAGTTCAACCACTTGGCATCATTGGTGGATGTTTTACCTTCTAATTCTTGTTGACCAAGTAAACAAGACATTTGCATTGCATTTACAGATGATCCTTAAATTATACATCAATATTCAAATGAATGGAAGTGTTTTGCTTATTTCAATTTTTTCCTGATCCATATGCTCTTCGAACTGTCCTATATCTGCCGAGCATGCTTCAAGAATTACTATAAAAATTGAAATAAGCAAAACACTTCCATTCATTTGAATATTGATGTATAATTTAAGGATCATCTNCAAAAAATGCATTTTCGGAAAATCTGAACATGAGAGTGCCTTGATTGTGTATGAATTTATTTTTAGAAGATAAGTGCAATTCAAAATGTTTATAAATAGAGTTGTAGAGAATTCCGCGGGCTATCTGAATATATAATTATTTTTCTCAAAAAGTTAACTTATAGTAATGATTTGTTAAAAATACTGTGTGCATCTATTTTTTGTCAGGCGGATATGTGAAAAATAGTAATGTCAGTGCATGATAACTAAACATTTACTATAAAAGTGATATACAAAATGAATCAAAATAATCGATTACAGATAAGAAATGGAAAAAACTTAAACAAAATAGAGCTTTTGTGACATATATATCCGTCTTTTTGTAACCGACAATGAAGCATTATGAAGTACAAAGAAATATAGGGAAGTATGGAGAAGTACAAGAAGTATGGGAAAATATGGAGAATTACAAGAAGTACAGAAGTATGTTGTTTCTCCCTTGATTTTATATAAATGTAAAAAACAAAGACGTACCATGAGAATGATTCGTACGATCAATCAATGACCATAATGCTCATTACAAATCTTTCCATGTTTTTAAACAGTTTCTTTGTGTTTATCTCTGAATAATATGTCTGATAATCTCTACTCCAACATAAAACGGAAAAAAAAAGAAAAACAGATTGTTTATTAAAAATACTTTCTACTAGTAACAATAAAATACGTTTCAGATAAAGAATATGACAGAATCCCTTTGCTCATGTTGCCAGCTTCTTGGAAAACCTCCAGGTCAAATAAATTTCATCATCGCTACTGGCGTACCAGACAGTGTAGTCTATCAACGAATCAAATATTTACTCGAAAATAATTCAGAAAATTCGTCATGGACAAGTGATATTCGTCTGAAACATTATGAAACATTGATGGATATCAATAATCAACTCTTTAATCTACAAAATCATTCATTACCAATGGACCAATCAATATCAACTTCGACAAGAACATGTTGTGATGGATACACTGCTATGTCAATTGATATTGATGATATATCAAATTCTTCGCGGCTAGACAAATTTCAGAAAACTATTCTTGAACTATTAGATCCAACAATTGAAAAAAAATACATAAAACGCAAATTAACAAGTTGGATTTTGTTCAGTGGATCAATATGTTTAGAACCAGCACTACTTAACATATTTCTTCAACTCACAAATCAAAATTCATCATTACGAAGCTTCACATTGACCGTACTTTGTTTTCTAGTCGACGAAAAACGACTTTTCGAAAATTGGCTATTTCAAAATCTATCTATTCAAGATTATCAATTAAAGACTCTTCCTGAATATCAGCACCAAATTAATAATTTCTTCTCATTATTAAATTCTTCAAAATATCTTCAAGACAATACATTACTTGTTGAAGAACAAACTGTTTTAACTGATAGTACACTTCAAACATTCATGCAAGGTGTTTTTCGTAATGAATCATCAAAATACCGAGCAAATAATGACAAATTTCGTTGTGATATGGCAAAATTACTCTCACCTCGTCAACGAACAGTACGTGACGTACGTGATATCCGAATTGAATTAGTAAAGCGTTATAATTGGATCATCGCGGATCGATTAAAGCCACTTCTCAATGATCTTCAACGATCATCTACGGCTGTTAATGCTGCTCGTCAAATTGTTCATCTTGTTCTCGATGACTTTGAACGTATGAATGACGAAGAATTGCGAGTCTATAAAAGACAATTGATTCATGGCTTTAAAACTCATGATGCAGAAGATGCAAACACAATTGCTGCTCAATTAGTTCGCTATGCTCTTGAGTTACTTAGAAATAATAATGCTGATACATCAACACCACTTATCTATTCAATAATTTCAGTTATATGTACATTAGGTAGCCATTTTTATTCTCGTCATGAATTATTTAATCACACGCCTGAAATATACACATTGAGTTTATTACTTGTTAGTCAAAGACAGTATGCACTAACATTATCTGGCCTTCGACTTTGTAACACTATTTTATATGGTGATCAAAACGAACATAAATATGCAATCGCTTATTTAACTCATGATCCATTAACTGCACGCAAAATTTTAGATGCCATCAAATGGCTACTATCGCCATATCAAACACTCAAAAACTTATGGAAAGAAGAAGAAGAAGGAGCAGAAAAAGGATATGATGGTTCTGAGTGAGTACAAGCATTCAATATGATATACTAGTACTTAACTAATTCTTATTATTGCTATCAGATCAATCGAAGAAGAATCAAAAGTGTATACTGCAGAATGTTGTTGCTTTCGTCATACAGGCATTCTGCTTAGACTACCCTATATACGCACTCTTGCATCATTGTTTTATGGCTCAGTCGACCATTGTGTGCAGGTGACAGAGGATGATGTGCACAACTTCGCTGAAGTCATTGATGTTTTAGCAGATCCTCGAATGCCTGGTGGAATTCGAAGCGAAAATAAATCTCGTCTTAGCTTAATGTTTATTAGTGAATTATGTGCTCTTCTAACACCTATTCTTCTATATGGCTTGCCTTCGGTTAGCTTAGCATTACTAAATGAAAATCATCTATTAGTAGCCATTCCTAAAGCTATTCAAGGCTTACTCAAAACGAATGATATCCATGAAAACATAATAAACATATGTATTCGTTTTTATACGCAATTTGTTGAGTCAAAATGCAAACAAGAGGAACTTGACAATGATACAAAAAATAAAGAAAAAAACGAGTTATTCGATACGAAAATAACTGAAACAAGAAGCGATACATTCGTTCCGTTGAATCTTTCTCGAGATTTAATTTCATCATACTTTAATTTATATCAACAAATTCAGAAAACATCTTTACTTAATGAGAAATTAGCACAACAAGCACATATTCAAGCAGTATTCAATGAGGAATGGAAAAAATTCGATATTCTACAACTTGAGCATGATTATAAACAAGTGAAACATGAACAAACGTTACTCAAAGAAGAACTACAACAATTAAGGAATGAATTACAACGCACTCAATCAGAGAGAGATCAATTCAAAAAAGAAAATATAAGATTGTATCAAGAAATAGATAAACTTAAACTAATGCCAATTACTAATACAGCTGTGGAAATTCAACAGTTATCAATAGTTGTTTCTACTGATAATAATAGTCAGAAGGATACAATTGACGAATTACAAAACCTTCCTCCCAATGAAATCATTCCGGAACAAGCAGAAAAATGTATTCGAGAAATTTATCATCGACGAACAACATTCAATGACAATGATATGCGGAAATCTATTTGTGGATCACTCAAACATCTTGGTTCTGATCTTTATAGTTCGCCTGTACATTTTTTACATGAACTTATTCAGGTTATTTTTCGTTTTCATTTTAATTCAACATATTTTATATATATATATATAGAATGCTGAAGATAATTTTTATGATAGTTCAATTATACCATGTTTACGTATTGAAATTGATCATAATTATATACTTTTATCAAACAATGAACAAGGTCTTCGAGCAAGAGATGTATTAGCTATTTGTAGTTTAGCTGTTACTACAAAAACAATTCAACAAGAACATATTGGTGAAAAAGGTGTTGGTTTTAAATCAGTTTTTGCTGCTTCAAATCAGCCCATGCTTATTTCACGTGCTTGGAAATTTCATTTTAAGGTGTCAGGTCTTGATGCTATGTCATATATAACTCCATTATGGATAACAGATCAAGATATTCCCGACTGTATTTCTAATCAAATTTCAGCATATGCTCAACATACTCATCTTTATCTACCACTTAAATTACAACCACATACACCCGAAGCTAATCTATTTCTTAATCAAGTTATCAAAGCTGTTGATCCGTGTATTTTACTTAATATGCGTCGATTAAAAAAACTTGAAATTATTGATAAAAGACAAAATCAAGTAACAATGATTGAAAAACAAATCAAAGGTCCAACGAAATTAAAAGAACAATCAAATATAACATTTGAAGATTTTACATTTTTTAATCTTACTGGATCTATCATTCAATTACATACTTCGACGGGATATAATACTTTCCGTGTGTATACATGTTATATTGATGTACCAAACTCAATTGAACAACGACGAACTCCAAAAACACGACTTATTATAGCATTTCCTTATGAAAATGATTATGATTTGACAAGTACAGTTTATGCAGGTTTACCTGTTTGTGACCTTGGTTTCAATTTTTTATTCAATGCTGATTTTCAATTAGTCACTAATCGAGAAAATGTTCGAGAAAATGTTTTATTCAATACATTTATTCGTAATCATTTATCAGCACTTTTTGTCTATCTTTTATTAAATGATATAGATTTAAGAAAAGATATCAATCGATATTGTCCATCATTAAATATACATCAAGGAAAACATTCGTCATGGTGGCTTGTTATGATTGATAATATCAATGAATTAATAATTAAACATTTGTCAATATTGTTTGATATTCGAACAGGTAAGTAAATAGTTTTCAAAAATAATGTTGAAAAACAAATTAATAATCATATTTAGGTAAAACAATTCGTTACTTTGATAGAGATTTAGCATTACTTGTATCAAATGAACAACTATACAATTGTGCTGATATTCATGTAATTGATACAGATAATAGTTTATTAACATTTGAACGATTGAAGTCTTTTCAAATTCAATCAGTTTCAATCATAGATATTTTGAATTGTTTTCCGCATCGAGAAGAAATATCAATAAATGAATATCGTCAACAATTTCGACTATGGACACAAAAACAAGATGAGCAATGGTGGTCTCGGCTTTTTCATTATTTAACTCCGATGATGACATCAGAAATTTCTAATAAAATATTACAAATACCAATTTTTCTTCTTCAAGATGATCATCAAAGACAATATTTACCAATCAATGATAATACGCATTTACTCCTCTTTATTAGTGATAATCCACAATTTCGAATGTGGAAAAAACAACTCACAATTTTACGATATTTTTCAGCATCAGAAAGAACTGCTCTTCTCAAATCAAATCATGTACAACTACTTACAGAAGAACGGATGATTGAGATTATTCGTCAAAATCATTTACAGATAACTGTTTCATCTCTTGTTACTATTCCAAATGTTCAATTAATCGAAGAAATATGGGAAGATTTGTTCTATTTAAAATCACAATTAGATAAATTAGATAAATCTACTCCATTTCTTATACCAGTTATTGGAACACCAAGTCTTACTTCGATTCAAAATGCTATATTACCAACAATATTAGGAATAGATATTCGATTATTTATGCATTCAACAAGTTCATCGATCATTGCTTTTCCTTATCATAATGCTCATCATTATCAATTGTTCGATATTCTTCAATGGGAATATTTTCTTCTTGAAATGAATTGTCAACGAGCATCGATTTATCTTCCAATAAACTATTCTATCACGAAATTACCATTTTTACCAACATTAATAATGTTTACAGATGAAAAATGTGCTCGATTAGGAGAGTTAATTCTTTCATATCAAAGAGAAAATACAAAAGATTGTCTTCGACAGTTTCCGATTGTTGATGATTCAAAAACTGTACAACAAATAAGTCCAGTCTCAGCTACTTTTGATGAAATGATTGTTCATGATTTACCATCATTACCACGTATCACTATTCCATCTTATTGTCGTTTATTAGCAAAAAATCTTGGTATTTGTGTCGAATATGACCTTCGTACATGTGTTAATATTCTACAATTATTAAGTGATGAAAAAAATACAAATGTTGATTTATATATTAAATGGTTAAGTCATTTACAATTGTATGTTCGTCAACAACATATTGAATTGAACACAAAAACTATACTTTTATCATGTCAATTGTATCTTCCTGATCAAAAAAACTTCTATTCATTAAAAGATCTTTTAATTATATCGAACAATGAAGAACGTCATAGTGGTATTTTACTCATTTCGACATATCTCAAATTACAATTAATTTCACCATTAATTAATCAAGTTTATTGGCAATTCAAAGATCTCTTTCATCTTTTAGGTTGTATATCTACGTCTACAATTACTATTGATCATGTTTGCACTGCAATTTACTTGACAAGTCGTGACAAAAATAACTTCTTCGCTTTGGGTAATTGTACTACAACTCTAACAGAGAATGGTATGGAAAAAATGATTTTTCTATATCAATATCTTGAAGATTTAATATTGAAATGTGTCAAAAATAATACGTCAAATACTGATTTATATGATAGAATTGTAACTAATAAACATCCAACGGCATCATATGGCAGTCGAGAAGATTTAGAATGGCGTTTTAGTTTTACTCATAATTTTTTATCACAACAATTGAAAAAATTGACTGGTATACAATTACAACGAAAAAAAATTGGTCTTCTTACAATCAATCGACAAATTATTACAAATAAAAATGATAAGACTATTTACGCATGTTTAGAAACTAAAATTATTCAAAGTTTATCAAAAGATGTTGGTCAACGTTATTTTATCTTACCATTAATTGCTCGTACATGTCCATTAGTTTTGGCGACATTTGACATTGATTATATTGAACGACGAGGCAAAGTTCAATGGATACATACAAATGATAATCTCGAGTTGTGTCTGAAACAATTAACAGAAATCTTTCGGGCCACTCTTAATGACTCCGAAATGGAAGTGATCACAGCAAAATATGCTAAGGTAGTTCTTCTTCTCTCCGATTCTTTTGTGATTGATTCAAGCAATGAACAAAATGAAAATGAAATCAGTAAATATTTAGTAGATACTAATTATCCTTTCTGGATATTTAACAAAACGATTCTTCTTTGTACTGGTCCAGAAAAAGACGATAATTCAAAAGCAATTATTGCAATATCTGCTTTAATGACTCTATTACATAAACGAAAACATATACCATTCGAAGAAGCTAAATCAATTGCACGACAAAAAATAAGTACATGCACAGCATTTCGTTCCGAATATACCGCACGTGTTGCTAGTACAGAACCCACTATCTATTCATATATTGATTTGCTCTTTCCTGCTGATCATCATTCTATTGAATCGATGATTATATCAATAGGAAAGCACTGCACCTTGGAACAAGACGTCGAAAAAACTATAATAACTACAGTTGCTGTTGATCGGGCTGCTGAAGATAAAATTTATCGAAATCGAGTGAAAACACAAAATC